GATATACACCGGATCCCCTCTCTAGCTTGCAGACAGCTGCTCATCTCCCCTCCCTCTTCATCCCACCCTCCTTCATACCCCATCACTAGCTATTTGTAAAGAATTTCCAAGACCGTGGCTGCCTGCCATACTGCTTCCCAGAAAGTGTCATTTCTGCCTTGTTTTTATAATATACCGTCCTCAGATGTCCTCTTGCAACCCTGGGCCAAAACTGTGCTTTGTTTCGGCTTATTCAACTCATGCTAAATTGCTATATGTTACTAAAATGCTGCACAATAGGGTTTTCTTTTTCTTTAGAGTGAAAAAGCACTTTAATTGCGTCACAGTAAGGAAACATTCTACTTATAGGAACAAAAAAGAATAGACCTATCATTTTGGTTCACAAGTCAGCTGGAAACTTTGAAGTGGGGTAAAAGTATTATGTGAAAGACAGTATGGTATTTTAAGGTTTTTCATACTGGAAACTAATCCTAAAATTTCGTTCTAAAAGCACTTTAAACCATTTCAGAAGCAGGGGAAGGACCTAAAAGAAGGTACTTTTAAATATCTGAACAATTTATCATTCTGAATAAGAATGACATTTTATCTTTACCATTAGATAAGCCACATTTCATGTTTTGGACTGGTAGTTAAAATCGAATTTTTACTTTTCCTGTATAAAATAAAGCAAGTTCAAAACACTTTGTTGACACAGCATTGTTTTTATGTGTTCGAACAAGAAGAAACATTAAGTAGAATTTTCAAAATTACATGTATTTTTCTTTGTGGAAATGTAATGGGGCTCCATGAATGTTAGCCCTAAGGGATAATACGACACATCTTGAAAAAATTGAACAATTAATTAAAATTTTTATCTTTAAATGCAGTGGATATAAAGTAGTATTTATATTCTCACACATCTGTAATTTCAAAGGTGATGGTTTGCACACAAAGAAATTTGTCTCCTTTATGGCCATGGTTTATATGGACCACATAGGAATAGACAAAATACCTCATTTTTATAATAGGTGAAAAGGGTTTTTTTAACTAAAAAATAAAGCCTTGAACTCAGGCCAGTTAAAGATGTGATACATATATATGGTAAGCAAGTGGCTCTGGAGCCTCATCTCGTTCTATTGATGAGGGCCTTTGCATGCCTCTTGTGAGTTTTATCATCACGAAATACAGACTGTTAAAGAATTGTTAACTCATGGGAACTGTTTTTGCAGAGGATACAGTGCTAGCTTTATAATGAGATGCACATACTTTATACCTACCCCCCCTTTTTGGAGAAAATTAAACAGGCTTAAACCCAAACATTTTAAACTTAAGGACTTCTTAGGGCCGTAAGTTGGATTATTTTTGTTTATACATTTTTCAAAGATAAAGACATTCTTTGAAAATGTTCAAATATGAACAATTATAGCATGAATTCTAATTCAACTCTATTTCTGTGTCATTTGTTTTCTGAAAGGATGTAGCTTCTTAGTGTTTTGAACTTTTTCCTCCCTGAGAATTATATAGATTTACATGTTTTCTTTTCTTTGTAATTACTGGCAAGATGGCCATGGAGGATGCTAAATTTTAGTCAGTTACCTAATTAGGATGGAAGCCTTGTCAGCCCAGTAGCATAGTTTGTCAACTCAGCTAGGCACCCATGGGAGAATGCTCTTGGGTTCAGTCTTCAGACACGAGGCCATTGCCCAGGGAGCTGTCTTCTTGGGCAGCTGTACCACCACCCATTTGCCACTGCAGAAAAGTTGTGCTGGACCAGTGCCTGGTCTTTAGCTTCCAGCAGTGCTATCTTGACGCATGCAGTGGCACATTTTCCAGAGATCAGCCAGCGCACCAGGTTATTCACTGTTCCTAAGAGACTCCAACTGTGCAACAGGCCAGTAGCGTTCGGTGACCTGGGCCTTCCCTCCCTCCATGCAGACACGAATATGGAGGCTACAGAGGGAGGAAGATGATCTCCAGGCTTAATTCATAAATGTCCCAGGGAAACTTGAGAAAGCACCTTGATCCCACAGCCGTGAATGCCTCGAATCACTGAGAGTCTGGTCTCCCTTCATGGTCCTGGATAAGCACCACCCAGTTCTGCCCAACTCCAGTTTTCCAATTTTGTGGGACAGTGAAACTGTCTACATCAGTTAAGCCTTGTTCTTCCTGGCCTTTGATGTTCTGTAAGACGCAGATATCAGTTGTCATTTATTGTATATTAACTCTTTTATGAATATGATGAGTGGGAAGTACTAAAAGAAACTTTGATAATTTCCAGAATTACAAGGTTGTACCTGTTTGATCGGTACCCTTTATAACCATTAGTTGTTCTCAGAAGAACCTCTATCAAGTTATGAGTGGCTGGTTATATTTAATATGAATGAATATTATAATTGTGTTTTAACATTTACCCGAAGCAGCAATTATTCAAGCCTCTTGATGGTGCATTGTGCCTCATATTCATTGTAATATGTCCAATACTGCCCACCTATTGGTATAGATTAAATTGGTATAGATTAAATCAAGCAGGGTCATCAACAGTCTTAACAGCATGACTAGTGATATGCTTCCTCTTCCATTCATGTTCTTCCTAATGTCTTAATAAGTGAACATGCCTGGGGAAGGCTGCCTGCCATACTGCTCTGAGTAATACTTGTAGTGTAATGATACTGCTTCTTGGGAAGAACATACAGGCCATGATGAGAGCATTGATTGGGAAGATTGCTCTCCTATCTTCAAGCGATACTACATAAGTTAGATTGTTTTGCCATCAAACAAACTGAACGGAAAACAACTCTTTTGCGTTTGGTTTTTGTTTTATTTTAACAATTGATTGGTGACATGCATTAATTTTGTGTGTTACCCTTGTGGTAGCGGATACCTTACACGTCAGCATGAAAGCATGACTTCTAATCAAGGATGACATAGTGGACAGGGTTGCGGTCAAGGTGCATGAGGGCAGCTGACCAGTGCACACTCCGGAGATGCTTCCAGACTAACGAGCTGTTGTCTTCAGTGTTGGTTTACAAATCAGGTTGTTGCTAATGTATCCATCTTTCCAAGACACCATCACCCAAAAATATATATTGCGTTTGATACATTTGTCTCACAAGTATGGTGCTTTGTTTGTTTGTTTGTTTGTTTGTTTGTTTTAAACCAAAGAAGGGGGCTGTTGATGTTTGCATTACCCTTTCTATTTTACTCCTTTCTTTGAGGACTTCCTTGGGAGAAAGGAAAGATACTGCTAGAGATTCTCCAACAGACGTGGACCACCGTGTTCCAGAAGTGTCAGCCTTTGAACTGGACTTTGTTCTGACCCCTTTCTCCTCTCAGTATTCCTTTTCTTGGGATTCTACTTCTTGAATATGACCATTAATTTCAGACAAGCATTAACTTTAGCATTCATAGAAGAATGTTAGAGTAGGCAGCCATTTGGGTACTATCAGATTAACAGGTCAACTCTTTGGTTATTTTTGTTCCTAGTAAAGTACAGTGGGAACATACTATCCTCAATAAACTGTAAGTTATCAGGGAAAGGATCTTTGTGTTAGAGCATAATTGATCCAAAGTATCACAAAGCATTTTAATGTGAGAAACATGTACATATATTTTTTTGACTCATTAAATTTTGCTTGTGTAATAGAATCTTATGTTAGTTGCTTAAGTTCTAAATGGAATGTCGTGAAGCTTTGTGATACTGTGGCCCCCCAAAAGAAGCAAAAAAATTCCTTCAGTACTTAATAAAGAATGACATTCATATCTAGCAGTGAATTTAAAAATGTAAAAAGCTATTTTACAGCCTGGCCTTTTTTTGAAGTATTTCTAAGATTGTGTCTTGCTCTACAGTCAGCACAAGGGCAAGCAAAAAACAAAGGTTGTGAGGGCCACGGGCCCTGCGTCTTCAGGCCTCGGGCTTGTTGCAAGTAGGAGCTGTTACATGCATTGCATTTGAGCCTGGGTAAGAGACTGGTCTAAGCCAGCCCCTGTTCCAGCCATCACCCCCTTGCTAGAAAATTCTGTCTTCCTTCCGTACATTTAAGAAATACACATGGAAATTTATTTTATTTTACTTTTTATTTTTGCATATTGACAACCCTTAAACAGATACTTAATAATCCTAACCTTGGTTTTCATCCAGGGTTTGAAACAAAAATAAAAATGGAAACTTAAAATTTAATGTAAGGTAAACCACGGAAAATATTTTTTAAAGTTAGTTTATATATTCTTCTTTTGAAATTGGCTCATTTTCCAACTAAAACTACAGAAATGCTATGAAAGGAATCTGCTTAAAAAACTGAGGAGAAAAAATTATTTTTATTAACTTGGCAAACTGAATTTCCACATTTTGTTATGTATGCCTTGTTTTCTACAAGTTCTAATGATTTGTTTCTTCTTTTTACTAAAATGATATGGTGTTGATTGATTTGTGACTTTCTTAGAACTTGTAGAATGAGATATGGTGTTTTGTTTGTGCAAAGATTATTAAACTCTAAATTCTTAATTTAGAGGTTTTCCCCTTGGATTGTTAGTAGTATCTCATAGGTCTAATGTTTATTATGCAGTTGACCTTCATTAAAGCTATTTAAAATTTATTCCAGATGGAGTAAATCCCTCCAAATAATTCACCCTTTCCTTAAAATACATTTTTGCTATAACTTGTTTTTAACAAAAAAAAAAAAAACCTAAGGAATATCAAGGAATCTCACATTTCTGTTCCTACAAAAAAGACAGTGTATGAGCCAATTATATTTGCTTATTTGCCAAGTACTCTGTGATTGTATTTAAACAACAAGTACGTCACTTTCTTCATCAAATTAAGATTATGAATAACTAAACAAAAAGTATTCTGAGAGAACTTTGGAGTTTACCAAACCAGGCAGAAGTCAGGAACTGATTTTTCTTTTTACAGTTTGGATGGTACCAGGTAGTATTCTTATTCAGTTATGAATTAGAAGATGTTTAATAAAGTTGACTTCTGCAGTTGCCTCTAAACTCCAATGGTAATTATTTTGTTTTCACAGTGCTCCAGCTGAGGCTGCAACAAAGGAGGACAAGAGAACAACTAGTGGACCAGGGCATCATGCCACGTAAGATTTAAGTGTCCTTGTCATCTCTAATGTGATGTAACAAAATGCCCATGTCCAAGAAGAACCTGTATCACACTGTACTTGCTGTTGTATCCATGTAATCAATATATAATTAATTACCAGATAAGTTCATAAGGAAAAACCAGGCTTCAGCATTGCCAACCTAAGAGAGTCATTTAAAACACATTTTGAAAACCCAGTGCCATCTAAAAGATGGATTTGAGTTTTATATTATAAAAAGAACACCTTTAAAACTGTTATTAGGCTAACATCAGTTCTTCAAACTGCAACATTTGCATTAGTTTTAAATAATTGAAGTAATTGTTCTACATAATGAATCCCTTGTTACTTAGACTTGCAAAAGTAGCATGATAAAATTAAGTCAAAACCTTATTCTACTTTACATTATTTAATTTAAATAAATTATCTTTGATGTTATAGAATGGGCTATAATATTAAGTGTGTCTCAGTTACAGGACTAATAAACATTCTCTTTATAATTAATAAAATATGTCTTCCCAAAGTACAGATATTTTCCAACTAGCTATCTCTAAGCTTCAGTCCTTCATTTTTGAGAGCTGATTAATTTTAGAATATTTGTCCAGGTTGTCTTCTTTAGCTTTAATCACCAAATTTGAAGATGATGTTATATTTTAGAGGGGAAGAGTGATTGTTTTGTGTAGGCCATTAGAATTATTTATATGGAGTTTGTCTAAAAATTGATTTCTCCAAGAAGTAACTTATTCGGCTTTAAAAAACAAACAAAAAAACCCACGAAATTACAGAATGCATTTATCTAAGTATTTAAAGCTAGCATTGTGACAGAGTCAAAGCTGGTTTAATAATCTGCCAGATTTCTCCACCACTACGTTCCTGACTATGAACAGGATCAGTCAAATAGGATCAAATTATGATGTTTAAGACACCACTGCTAAGCCCGCTGTAGTCTGGTTTTAGAAGCTGGTCCCTAGTCAAACCTGTTGGGACTGGGCTGCTGGGAGTCTTTGCAGCGCTTCAAGTACCAGAGCTGATGGGCCAAATTTTAGAGATGACGTCCCAAGTGAGCCTAGTCCTATATCTCACCCACATTATCTGACTGCCCATAGTCATAAGTGCAGGTTGTTAGCAGACAGTGGTGGGCATACACACAAAAGATTTTGCAAAGATAATTGATAGAAATACTGCAGTAGGCATTGTTATAATGAATAAGCACTGCTTACCCTCACTGTGGGATTCTGGAATATTTAATGTACTAGCAGTTAAGGTATTAAAAGAATCACTGTGTCTTTAGAGTGACTTGCATTGTGTGGTAGAAAGAGCATGAACATTTCAAATTCAGAATTCTAGATTTTTACCCCACTTTGACCACCATCTAGCTATTGACTTCAGGAATTCATTTTATTTCTTGGAGTCTTGCCTGTACTGGGGCTGATGCCTACCTTGCAAGTTGTTGTGATGATCAACAGCAATATACATGTGATTGACCACAGAGCACTGGGCTTAGACTGTTGTGGGTTCTCAGTAAATAATAAATCAGATCTGTACGACATGGAGTGCAACATGTCCTCATGTTCAAGGTTAGATCAGTTAAGGTTCAATGTCCTGAGGACATTTGGGCTTTTTCCAGTAGCTTATATGGTCATTAAAACCAAAGACCTGTCAAGAAATCAGTTCCTTGGTGATGGTAATTTGCTCCAGCTATTGGTTGGAACTAGTCTAACTGATATTTGATTGTCATTATATATACTAGTCCATTTAAATGTTTGCTTGTTTTATTTGTGAAATACATTTATTTTTTAAAAATTTTATGAGAGTTTATTTGAGCCAAACTTACGACATATGGCTGGGATCAAGATCTCAAATGCCCCTGTGAAATACATAATTTTAATTCGGAAATATTTAAGGTTCCAAATTTTGCAGACCTCCTAAAGAAACTAGTAAATAAATGGAACTGTAAATGCAAACTAATAAGATTAAGAAGGAGCATCAGCAAGAAATGCTGTAACGTTTGACTGAAGTATTAACTCCTCTATTTATACCTCGGAACCAATTTTTTTTCCTCTCACAGCTTTGAAGAGCCCAGCGGCATTCCATGAGCAGATAAAAAGCTTGGAACGAGCCAGAGTAAGAAATATCCGTTTAAAATGTTTACTTCTCTGCTTCTCTTATTTCAAAGTACCTGTGGACAAGTATCAGTCTTACTCCTAAAAATGTCAAAAGAGGAAATCCAGTGAATTTTCAGGATACGTGGCATATAGAGTAACCTTTCTGGGGTAATTTTATCCTGGAGGTTGGTGGAAAATACTTGACATTCAAACATTTTTCTTTTAAAACTAGTGACTAATTTTGTACATACAGGACAAATGATACTTCTTCACTTTCTTGCTTTCTGGGCATAACCACAGTTTTTAGAATATTAATGAAGAGATTCTGTCATTTGTTACCCCAGCAGATGGACACAGACCCTACTATGTTACCTGTACATTTGACCAAGGGTAGGAGAATCTGGCCAAGTGAAGGAGCATGGCCACATTCCAGTCTGCTTTATTCTTTGAGTTGATTCCATCATAGTTGCACACCAAATTTATATTTATTTTTCTTTGAAAGTACCATAATGCATGCTTTTTCTTTTTGTTTTAAGGAAAACTTCTGACATATTTTATGAAAAGCATATTCCAAAAATCCTTTAGAATTTTCTCAAGATGCGCTAATGATCTCTTAGAGTCTTGTAAAATATAAAACCCTGTTGTTTAGAGTTGAGCACAGTTCTGAATAAGAAACTATGATCAAGGGTATGAGCTCATCAAAGGAGATACATGAGAAATTTTTAGGAAGTTTGTTATCTAGGTAGATTTTTTTTATTTGTCCTGAAGCTTAGATTTTATATATTTAAATGTTCAAAATTCTATGTCTATTCAAAAATCAGTTTCAAAATTGTGAGCCTCTGCCTTTCCCAAGTTTTAAAGTAAAGGTCTATAAATTGGTTACTTTAAGTCCTTGTACAATGTTGAAGGCTGCAATTTAAATCGTATATTGGATAATAGTTTCTCAAAGTACTAACTTCTGTTTTCTTCTTCTCAAAATCATGACCAAAAGGGTATCAATTAATTTAAATGGAGTACCTTGAGAGAAAAATATGTAAAACCACAATAAGTCATAATCAATTTATGGTAAGACTTTCTCCTTTTCTTTTCTTTTCTTTCCTTTTTTTTTTTTAAGACTGAAAACTTTTTGAAGCACAAGATTCGAAGCCGACCAGATCGTTCTGAACTTGTCAGGATGCACATTTTAGAAGGTAAAAGTTTTATTTCTGTTTATTTTACTGCATTTTCTCAAGAATATAAGTGAGAATGCCACCCTTTCTGTTTATTCCCATTTTAATAACTTTTGCCCCTCAGGCTGAAATCCTCCAGATTGGACAGCAACATGAACATCCAAAGTTAAATGCTATGTTAGATACATGAGGAAGGTTTGATTCTCCAGATAACCAACTAATGGGCTGACTGACTCCTCCCCACCAGCTGGTGTCATAGGTGTCTCTACTGTACTGTTCTGGAAAAACATTTTCAGTCCAGAGGATTTCTTCATCAGTGAGGCACCTGTGCCCACTCATTAAATTACAAAAGGGTACAATAACCACAAGTCTAACCATAGATTTTCAGGTACTTGGACTCTATTATATCTACCTGGTACGAATTCCACACCTAACATTTTCTCTTTCTTGCTATTTGTCCACAACAATCCAGCTTGATCTGACCATTATCTTAAACACCCTCCACTCAGCCCACCAGATTTTCTCGATGATCTGGCCTCATCACTTAGGAAGCTGGTGGGGACAGTTCTGTTCCATCTTTGGTGAAATGCATGGCTAAGGCCAGGATGTTTTTCTCTGTAAAGACAGAGCATTCTCTTTTTAATTATTTTTGTATTATTATTGTTGGCACTATTACAGATATCCCCCACTTTCCCTCCACTTTGCCTCCCTCCACTCAACCCCCACCTCTGGCCTTCACCACGTTGTTGTTTGTGTCCATAAGCTATGCATATAAGCTCTTTGGCTAATTTCTTCCAGCTCTCCCCTCCTCC